AAAAAAAAGAAAGTGATGCCCAAATTTTAGCTGCCTAGGAGATTTCATTCTTTTCAGTGGCCACTTCCATTTCCTAGAAGGAGCTCAGGCATTAGCACCAGGCAGATTTGCTCCAAATTCCAACTTCACACATACTACTTCAGTCACCTCGCCAGTTAAATACCTTTATTCAACCTTAACTTTATTATCTACAACATAGAGGCAGCGATACCTATTGTATTGTGTTGTAAGGAAGACTGTTCTATTTTTGTGCCGGTACTAGGATTTGAACTCGTGGCCTATGTGCTGAATTGTTTTTTCACTCAAAGCTGGTGTTCCACCCCTTGAGTCACACCTCTAGTTTTGGCTTTTTGCTGGCTCACTGAAGAGAAGAGTCACATGGACTTTTCTGTCTGGGCTGGTTCAAATTGTGATCCTCAGATTTCAGCCTCCTGAGTAGTTGGATTACAAGTGGGAGCCACTGGTGCTTGGCTGGGCCTTTAATTCTACCTTTAAATCCTGCTTTGCTTTGTGTCTCAGACCTTTGTGGCTTGTGGCTGGAAGAAGGCCTTGAAATAGGAGGAGGTGCTGGAAAACAGTAACTGGGAGAAACCAGATGTCCTGGCCCTCCCTCCCTAGCGACACGATTGTTGGTTTCCAGATTGCAGCATTTCCAGGAACGAGCCCTTGGGAAAAGCAATACTATTTCCATTGTGCCGACGTTATCTCTCTCCTCAGAATAGCTGAGAGCTGACTGGAAAATGAAAAACATGATGAATCCACAATTAAAACTAAGCATTTACAGGTTTGAAATAGGTGTATCCTTGATCTACCATTCTCACTGTTAAGAATTTATTCTAAGAAAAATAACTTGGGCGGGCTGGGAAGGTGGCTCAGTGGTAGAGTGCTTGCCTTGCATACATGAGGCCCTGGGTTCCATTCCTCAGTACCACATAAGCAAAAAGAAAAAAGCCAGAAGTGGCGCTGTGGCTCAAGTGATAGAGTGCCAGCCTTGAGCAAGAGCTGAGGGACAGCGCCCAGGCCCAGAGATCAGGCCCCACAACCAACAACAACACCAAAAAAAAAAAAAATTATAGCTGGGCACCGGTGGCTCACACCTATAATCTTAGCTACTCAGGAGGTTGACATCTGAGAATTGAGGTTTAAAACCAGCTGGTGGACAAATCTGAGAGACTCTTTTTTTTGGGGGGGGGTCCGGTTGTGGGGCCTGAACTCTGGGCCTGGGCGCTGTCCCTCAGCTCTTCAGCTCAAGGCTAGCGCTCTACCACTT